GTCAAAGTTCTAAGTTCAAACTCCTTTACCAGCTTTGCCTTCTACTGCATCATCTATTTTGTTGTGATACAAAAATCAAAATTTTCCCCAAAAGTTTGCTTTGAGTGAGACTCCAAGAAAATCTAGTTGGTTCTAGATTTTCTATATAGGAAGGGCTTCAGGACAGCAATCCAACTGGAAGAGTCAACAAAAGGACTCTTTTGACTGAGAAGGCCTTAGTTGTCCGTGCTGGAGAATGGAGGTGGGAGTTAATGGACCTGCCCTCTGGCATTTCTACGGAAGCGGCACAGTGAATGTCATGGGGTTTCAATTCCCTGCTCCTGGGCACCCTGAGGATCCTCAGCACCAACCTCCCCTCTGCCCCAGTTTCAGATGATGGGTCTGGTATGTGTCCTAATGGTTAAGAATTTTTCCAAGTTACACAGGCTCACCTGTGCCTCCATCTTTGAAACCAAAGATGACGACATTAGGCCACATTACTGACGCTGGCAACACAAAGACAGATTAGCTTGACTTCTACTATACGGTAAAACTTGCATAAGTTGACCACCCAGGGGACTGTAATAAACGGGTCAACATAGGGAGGTGGTCAACACCAGGAACTAGGCCTACTGTCCTGAGAGGTACATGTAGTACGTGTCCAGTCTATGAAAATTAGGTCAACTTAAGGAGTTGGTCAATGTAGAGAAGTGGTCAACTATGGAGATTCTACTGTCATTTTCTTAATTTTTATGAAAAAATTAAGCCAAAGGTCTGGGTAGAAACAAGCTACTGGGCTACACATTTTTTAAGAAATTAGAAGAGTTTGAGGGAATGCAATTAACAGGGGGATATGAGAAGCCAGGAGGTAGTCCTAATATTGACAAATACAAGGAGATGGATTTCATATATGCCTGGCCCTGTTCCAAGTACTTTCCATGTATTAATTTACTTAATCCTTTTAAAAGAACATTGATTTTCAAGGAGCCTCTTGGAACTCCACCTTCACCTACATTCCCAGAAAATCAGGGCTGCTTTTCTCCAGATAAGTTTTAACTTAAAGAAAAGACTATTTAACTAAAAACAAAACACAAAAAACCTTAAAAGTCTAAGCAGCAAAAACAAAACAAAATTAAAAAAAATGCACTTAAAATCTGAAGAATAATCTTAAAGACAACGAAACAAAAGTCCGTGGAATTCTTCATTGCAAAGTGATAGCCTGGAGTGACCCAGCCCATGGAAGAGTTTTGAGTGAACTACCCCAGGCATGTTAAAAATCAAATAAGTTGCCACACTTGAAAAGAGAAACCAGGAGATTTCAATGGATGAACTGGTCCTGGCAGCACAAGGCCTACCTTGAGCTCATCTGTGGTCATTGAGAGTTGGACAGAAACTGACCACTTGAGCATGAACTTTCCAATTCCACTGTCCTCTCCCTTGGGCCCCTTCAGCCATGGGTGCCACCTGCTGGCCCTGTAGGCATTTGGTGTACCAGCCTAGTTCGAAAGCTAATAAAGTCCTTCTTCTGGTTCTAAATACATCCCATGTTATAAGGTCACTTGTGAGAATTCGCCTAGAATTGCTGGAAACCACTTCTAGCTCCTGAAGCCTTCTTTGCAAGGCAGCTGGCCCTGAAATGGGTCTCCTGACCCACTTCGGACTTCAAAGAAGCTGGCAGAGCCTGCTACTTAATAGTGGCCCATGGGCTCCGGGATCAAGCCTCCCAGGTACAGGCAGGCCTTGACTGGTAAGCTGGGCAGGGAGGCTGCTCCCTCAGCTTCCCCAGAAAGCTTAGATTGTTTTATGAATGACAGGAGCATTGAGAAAATAACTTCACATTTCCTAGACGGTACAATCTATTAAGGATAATACGTTCTGTGGGTCTCTGCAACAAAACCCTTCCTTTTATTTGCCTTAAGTTTATTTCTTTCAAGTAGCAAAAGGGTCTTCTTTGCATTGTTCGTGGGAGTTGTAAACGCTGTCATCATCATCCTTCCTTTCTCTTTCTGATTTTCCAAACCTAGATTGCATTTATCATTTTAATTATATGTATCTGCCTTCATCCAAATCTTGGTTCAGTCTGTGAGATGGGTGCCCCTCTTGGTCCTCCCTAACCGAGAAAAGTGGGGTTCACCATAAGGCCACGTCCAGAGACAGAGGGACCTAACTAACTCCCTTACTGACTGGCCATCAGAACCTGGTTTCCCAGCCAGTCAGTGACACTCACTGAGCACCCACAGTGGGGTCAGCTGGGTCTCGGGCACTCCTGTTCCAGGTCTGGAGGCAGGGGGATGAAGCCTCTGCCCTTTGTGGAGAATGGCCTGAGGGGCGCTGAACAGGGGATGGGGGACTTTCTGAGGGGGTGGTGAGCTGTGGTCTGGAGGATGAGCAGGGATTACCTCCCTACATGAGAGTCCACGTCCCAGACCAGGAGAAGCCCCTCTGGGAAGACTCTGGGCTGTGAAGACATCTTGAGGGAGGAGAGAGGAGGCTGGAAGCCGGGTAAGCAGGCCTCCCTCACCTCTGGGGCCTCCTCCTCTCATGAGGAGGGGACTGTGGGGTGCCCCCTGGCCGCCCTCCATGTCACCAAGAACAGACATTTTCTTCCCAAAGGGGCAGTAGGAAGGACTTGGCTGGTGAGCCGAGCAGCCACCACACTTGGCTCTCTGGCTCCCCTCCAGGGGCCCAAGGAGCACACAGAGCTTCTCTGTGGGGAAGCCTCAAAGGGCAGGGCTGGGGAGCAGGGAGCCAGGGCCAGCAACACCTCCCTAGTGTCAGGGCCGACTCCCAACCAGGCATTTCTCCGAATCACTGAGGCCCTCTTGGCTCCCACAAACAATATGGCCCTCTTCAGATGCCAAAGAAAATAACAAGGGGGTGGATGTGCAGAGGGGAGGGAAATAGGGACCTGGTGAAACCTTTCCATGAAAAGAAATAAACTCTGGCTTCAAGCCTGTGGCTCAAGCGGCTAAGGCGCCAGCCACATACACCAGACCTGGTGGGTTCGAATCCAACTCGGGCCGACAAAACAACAGTGACAACTACAAACCAAAAAAAAAAAAAAAGCCTGTGATGGCACCTGTGGTCCCAGCTGCTTGGGAGGCTGAGGCAAAAGAATCACTTAAGCCCAGGAATTGGAGGTTGCTATGAGCTATGATGCACTCTACCCAGGGGGACAGCTTGAGGCTCTGTCTCAAAAAAAAAAAAAAGAAAGAAAAGAAAAGAAAGGAAATAAACTCTGACTACCGCACACAGATAGCCATCTCAGTCCGGGCCCAGCACAGGACCCACAGCTGAAGAATCTCAAGGCTCATAAACATCTCTCATCAGAATATCAGGAAAGTCCAAAGGCTCCTTTGGTTTACCCAAGCCAGAAATCAGCAGATGAAAGCACAGACTGGACCCAGGAATGGCCCCTGTTTTCCCAGGAAACCCTGCCTGCCACAAAGTGTCCCCGTGGGCCAGGTGGCCTGGCTCCAGCCAGTGACCAGAGAGCAGGAGCTGGGTTGGCCTCACTGGCTCCTTCATGCCTCTCAGCTGCCAGGTAGAGGCTATAACATCAGGCTCAACCAGTCTGGCAGAATATTAACTCTTTTGCGCATAAAACTGCAGTGAAATTTTTAAATAAATTAAAACAAATCTATTGGTTTATGCTCCACTGCCCCTCAATCCATTCCTCAACAGGAAAAAAAGACTTCTGGAAAAGCTCTGAGTTTCAGGGGGAGCCTCAGTTCCCTTGAGAGTCCAATCCCACCTACTGGACAGGATCATTGGGAGGACCTGAGAAACCTGAGAGGACATGGCAGGGACACATCGTGCCTGGCTGGCATGTGGAGGTGCTTAGTGAGCAGTAGCAACCACAAAGGGAGAGGCCCCAGCTCCTGCCTGAGACCAGCAGCTCCCCAGCTCTGTTGGGGACGGTGGCAGCCAATGCAGCATTTAAAGTGGGGAGGCAGTAGCATCATCACTGCTTACTGACGGGGTAACAGCTCACAAGTGGCCCTTTCTGTCCTCATTCGATGAGAAGAACAGTGGCCTTTGAGTTCAGGCTGGGTTCAAACCCGGCTTTGCCACACACTGGCTGTGGGATCTTGGGGAAATTCTCCATCACCCACAAACTCCTCATCTGTGACCTCCTAGGAAACAGGGACCAAACCTGTCTCAGCCGCCGTGAATCCTTAACACACAATTTGTTGCTTCACGCGTAGTAGGCATTCAACAATAATGTTAATGACAGCATCAAACTCTTACAGCCTCAGTTATAAAAACACTTTTACGTATATTAACTCATTCAATCTGCAGAACAATCTTATGATAGAGGTGCTGTCACTATTCCCATTTTACCAAGAAGGAAACAGATGCTCTCATTTATTGAATGAATGAATGAGTGAGTGAATGAATGAATGCCGTGCAGATACAAGAATTGTTTATGTCAAAGAGCCTGACCAAGCACCTGGTTACCTGGTACCTCACTCCTTCTGCCCCCTGTGTCAGGTTCTCCTGGGAACAACAGGTCAAGCTGGTGAGTACATTAACCCCAAACTCCATAGCAGCCCTGTGAGTTGAATTTATAATCCCTATTCCACAGATGAGGAAATTGAGGCTTAACTGCCTACAGACCTTGGCCAAGTGTCAAGAATCGGGATTTGAACCCAGGCCTGTCCAACTGCTGAGTTTGTGCTCTTGATACCCTGCTGTCTGAAACCAAATGACTGAAGGACCTATTTCTTTCCTTCTCCACTAGCCTCCCCCTTATTCTAAGCTTCAGAACCAGACATGATTATTTCTCAACACTGTCATTCCTCCTCTGGCTCCAGAGTCCATCCACAGGATCCAGTCCCTCTGGTTTTCTCTGCAGGATAGAGGGTGACCTGCACCCCTGCAGAACACCAAGGGCTGGAGGCCCTTTCACCCCTTTGGATGAGGGGTGAGGATGTTCCCCTAACAGGTGCCTCCTTCGGGGCCTTCCCCGAGGTTCTCTCAGGGACCGTCACTCCTGACTTCTCTCTCCTCTGGTGCAGCCTGCGACTCTTACTGGACTTCAGTACCCCCGGAATACTGGACTAAGCGCCACGTGTGGGAGTGGCTCCAGTTCTGCTGTGATCAGTACAAGCTGGATACCAGCTGCATCTCCTTCTGCCACTTCAACATCAGCGGCCTGCAGCTGTGCAGCATGACGCAGGAGGAGTTCGTGGAGGCGGCCGGCGTCTGCGGGGAGTACCTGTACTTCATCCTGCAGAACGTCCGCGCGCAAGGTCAGCTCCCAGACGCGGGGTCTGGGGGAGGGGCTGCGCCTGGGACCGCAGGTCAGGAGGTCTTCCCCACCCTGTGACTGTCCCCACAAAATTTCATTAGCGAGAACGCCTGTTAACCAAAACCTCTCAGTAATAGAGAGGTTTTTAATAACTGGAAGCTCTAGAATGCTAGAATTGAGAGTTTTAGGTAAAAGGGAGCAAGTTATATGAAAGCAAGTTGAGTACATTAAAAAGAAAGAGAGAGAGACTAAAAACATGTTCAGGGACTGCCCAGAAACAAGGTAGATAACAACAAAATAATTCAATGTATTCATAAAGTCTTGAAAGCATAAAGGATGGACAAAAAGTGATTTCTGCTTTACCTCTATCGTCAAGCAGAAGGGAAGTAAAATTCGGTAAACCCTCTCCCCACAGGGGTCCAACCGATCACATTCCTAATGGTCAATGAACACATGGCCAGAAGGTGGCGCTCGTAGCGTTGAACATATTTATTATTATTGTTGTTATTATTTTGATCCAGAAAGGTTTTTAGAGAAGGTCTAATTCTGTGCCACAGTGTCACAGGTAAAGGAACTGATGTCCAGAGCGGTTCAGGGATATCCTCAAGGTCACACAGAAAATGACAGGGATTTGGAGATGAGAAAGACCTCTAGTCCAACCACAGTTCCCACAGGTTGGAGCCAAGTGACCTTTGGCAAGTGATCTAACCTGTCTGAAGCTCCATTGCCTCCTCTGCCCAATGGGATAATGACACACTCCTCCACTGGCTTTTGGGGAGGAGTCAGTGAAATATTACCCAACACAATATACAAGGACTGGCAAATCTCACGTCAAAAAATGCCTTTCCCTGGTCCTATTACTTTCAGGGGTCTGTGCAAAAATAAATAAACTAACAGCCACCTGTTTTTTTTTAAGGGTATAAGTTGCCTCTTCTTATTCTAATGACTCCCTGGGCTCATAATGCCACCTCACATAGTGGAATTTCAGAGTAGGAAGGATTCACATTGAACAGTAAAACTACTCCTCAAGCTGCTCCATTTTGAAATCTGTCAGTGTTTCTCAAGCAGGTCTGTGTTTTGTGGATTGATTGTGGAGATATAAACACATTATGACCAAAGTTTACACTGTCCTCATTTGCCCAGGACACATCATTTCCACCTGTTATCTTGGACTAGTTATAATTAGTATAGTGCTACTTCTCATCCCCAAAAGTCTCTCCGTTTGGACCACAAATTGTATAGTGAACTGGCTATTTCCTAGTGTATGCTTTATACCACCCTGTAGATTAGGGTTGTGGCAGAACAGGCGTCTGAGGCACAGAGAGGAGCTTGAGGGGGGCCTTAGGTTCAGGTACTGTCTGGCTCAGTGAGTATTTCAGAACGCAGGTCACTAGAAGGCAAAGAGTGGCTTTCACAGTGTAGGAGGGGAATGAGTCTCCCATGAGTCCTTGATCCTGTCCTTGGTTGGCACCTGCAGGCAGAGTCACCAAGGCACTGAGGCTGGCAAACAGCAATGAGAATACACCACCAGGAATAATCAATGAGCCCTGATCCAGCCTCCTAGTAAATAGAAATTAGTCTTCGTGTAGGACACCAAGATAGGAAATAGGTGTCCTTTGGCCTATACTGCTATGTGGAAGCATGATCTGAAACCCTATATCGACCCCAGCCCACCCTGTTCTACAATGGAGGCAACTGAGGCTCTGATACCTTCTTCCTAATCCTTGCTAAGCTCAGTGTTCACATTGGGTTTTGCACTTCTTACAGCCTCTTAGACTCCCTCTCCCCTTCACCATAGAACAGACATTCAAATCCCAGAAGGATTAGCAGCCACACCAGAGACTGTAGACCAGGGTTCCTCAAACTTTTTAAACAGTTCACTGTCCCTCAGACTGTTGGAGGGCTGGACTGCGGGCCCCAGGATGAGTTGGCTGCTAAGCAGGACAGGCAGCGGCAGCAAAAACACCGGGCGGGCCTGATAAATGTCCTAGGCGGGCTGCATGTAGCCCGCAGGCCGTAGTTTAAAGATGCCTGCTGTAGACTCTTAGAGCCGAACAGAAGCTTAGCTGGATTTTGTCTCATATTGCCAATGAGAAAATCAACGAGCCCAGAAACTAGATGATGGGCCAGTAGCCCAGCAATCTCAGAGCCCAGCTCTCCTGGCCCCCCCACCAGAGCCCACACCAGTGCCTGTTACGGGGGCAGTAGGGGACCTGACCCCAGGTATGCTTTCCAAATGACTTTTTAAAATGAGATTGTCACCTCCTAGGGCCGGATGGTTCCAAGTTTCCTCGAAAATGAAACCCTTCTCAGAGGCTTTATTGCTCTTTCCCTTTAAATCTTATTCAGCAAAGTTGTATGGCATCATACTATTTATTCCTGAGTGGCCCAGGCTGTAAGAATGCTATTTGAATGAAATCATGTCCCCACATACTCTCAGAGCATAGGTCTTGTGTGCTTCAGTAAATAGACACTTTCCTAAGTGATGGCCTGAAATTTTGCTGTGGTAAGGCCAAATTGTACCCGAGTCTCTCTGGCATTTCATGACCTCCCAGCTAGTATTCCATGCATTAGGCATATCTCCACAATCATGCTACAAAACAACCTCAAAACTTCAGTGTCTCACAACAATTTATAACACATTCTGCTCCTGAGTCTACAGGTCAGCTGGGTGATTTCACTGACTTAGATATGATCATTTATGCAACTACAGTCAACTATAGGTTGTCTTAAGAGGCTTGGCTGATCTTGGTTGGACTGGGTTGGGCTCTCTCAACCTGGCTTTGTCCCTGATGTCTCATCTGCCATCAGAGAGGCCAGAGATAGACTTGGAGCTAGCCCAAGAGAGAAGCAGTCACTCTCCCTCCTCCTAATACCTTCCTGGCCTGGCCAGTGGAAACCAAGATTGCATGGTACGGTTTGTGGATTTCTTTTTCTTTCCCAGGTTACTCCTTTTTTAATGATGCTGAAGAGACCAAGGCCACCATCAAAGATTGTAAGTAACCAAGCTCAGGCTACCCAAGGCTATGTTGAGGCTATCCTTGGGTAGCTGGGCTTGATCACTTTTTCAGAAATGTCCTAAAAGGTTGATGGACTGAAACCACCACAGACAGACAAAGTGGGGAGGAGCATGGTGATAAGAGTGGGGACATGGGTCTTTGAGACCACAGCTTGGGTATCTGGATTCCTGATCCTCCCAAACTCCAATTCTCTCTATATATAATGGTATGACCCTTGCTAGGTTGGAGTGAGTTTGATGAATAGTGTACACAAAGGGCCTGGCCTTTACCACCAGTGTAGACACTCCAAAAACCAGGGTTCAATGGCTCATACCTGTAGACTCAGTACATTGGGAGACTGAAGCAGGAGGATCACTTAAGCCCAGAAATTTGATACTTGCCTGGGCAACATGGCAAAAACCCATCTCCACAAAAACTATTAAAAACAAATAAATTAACCAGGTGTTGTGATTTGTGCCTGTGGTCCCATCTACTCAGGAGGCTGAGCCCAGAGATTTGAGGTTACAATGAGCTACAATCGTGCCACTGCACTCTACCCTGGTGACAGAGTGAAGCCCTATCTCTTAAGAAAAAAAAAATCAAAACCCAAAACCAGTGCCTGTTAGTCATAATACTAATAATTACTATTAGAAGCCTCATGACTGGTAATGTTTAAGGAGAATCTGAGCTAAGTAGGGTGAGTTTATAACTATGAGCTGATGGCGGATCTCTAATAATCTGGTGGATTCTGAAGATTAACCTCCCTGCTTCGCTTTTGTAGGTGAAGAAGGTTTAGGATGGGAACTTGGGCGCTTTCACTTTTTAAAAAATGATGATGACATTATCAATATTAGTTATAGAGTCCCACACAAAGGCCCTGGCCAGGGGCAGGAGGAGACGCAGTCCCGGGCCAGTCCCCTCCCTCTGTGGACTTCAGCTCAGTCACCTGGAAAGAGAGGGCAGAGCACACGGTTCTTTCTCAGGCCTCTGAGCAGAGCGAGCCAGCGGGGCAGACACAGAGGGACTGCTTCTTATGATTTATTTTTTTCTCTCATTAAAGTCCCAAACAATCAACCTAGGATTTAAGATATTCGGCTCCTGGTTAACAAAACTTTTTTGATTTTTTTATGTTTGTTTTTATTTTGGAGCTTTATTTAGCACAGGAATAGCCAGGTCTGTGAACCTGTATTCAGCGTGATTTCCCACATCTCTGCCCCCCCATGAACAAAGCCCCCACGGTTTTCTTGATGCTGAAGGGACTTCTGATCTACCCACAGCAGCCTAAGGGGATGCAAATGCCTGCTTTCATCACCCAGCCTGGAAGAAATGAATCCACTGAGGTCCAGGGGACATTACTATGTCCAAAGGCTTAAGCACAGGCAGCATTTGCTTTTACAGTGACTTTGACCTGACCCATCCTTTCTCCAGGTGTCAGCATCCTCACTTATGAGTAGGAATCACTTACCAGCCTGCCTTCCTCAAGGCAAAAGTAAGTGATGATCTGGAAAGAGATGGTCCGTAAGTTCTTTAGAAGTAGGTGTTACCTGAATATGGAACTAGCCACACTTAGATTCAATGCAATGATAGTGGTGATGATAAGGATGAAAATAATAGCCGGCATTTATTGAGCACTTGCTATGATCCAGGCCCCATGCTAAAATCTTTACATTGTCTCAGGTAATCTTTCCAATAACCCTACGAGACAAGTCCTAGTACCATAGGGTTAAGACCTTAAGCGTAGAGGTTAGATGTGATATGGTTAGAAGGTGGCAGATGATCCAGGTGTGTCTAAATCTGAAGCCCGGTCCTCTTATCTATTTCTTCCTTTCCCTTTTCATTCGTTCATTGATTCATTCATTCAACAATTACTGAACACCTGCTATGTGTCAGGCCCAGAGCTAAGCACTATGGTGTCGACAATGAGCAAAACTGAGGTCTGGCCCTCACTGATGCAAGAGAGAGACATTAAAGAAGGAATCCAAATAATCACGTGACTGCTAACCATGATGTTACTATAAAGGGAAGGGGTAGAGTGTTTTGCATGTGATGGAGGAAAATTCACATTCAAACTGAGGTCCAGGGAAAATCTTTTCGAAAAAGAGATATTTAAATTAGGCCTAACAGATGAGTGAAAGTCACAGCCAAGAAGAGAGGGAAGAAAAGGTTACAGGGAGTGACAGCAAGTGCAGAGGCCCTGAGGAACATCCTTGCTATCCTTGAGAAAGAACCAGTGGAGGCCAGAGGTCCTAGCATCAGGTTATCCTGTAGGAGCCACTGGCGCATGAGGCCAATTAAATTAATTAAAACTAAATTATTAAAATTCATCTCAGTCACACTCGCTTTTTCTCAAGTGCTCAGTAGCACAGGTGGCTGGGGCTGCCATATTGCACAGCCTAGAGTCCCACTGCCACACCTGCACAGCACATTGGCAGAATCTCATCAGCATCAGGAGAAAGAGACATGGGAACCGAGGCCCAGAGCATGGCAGGGCCGCACAGCTTTTTGGGTAGTGGAGTTTGAATTTCATCCCCAGAAGTCTGGGAAGCCAATGGAAGGTTGCAGCATGAAAGTAATAAGGTGCCATCTACATTTGAAGATGGTCTCTTGGACTGCTATCTGGGAGAGTGATGGTGGTAGCCCAGGGAGAGGTGACAAGACGAGGACTCTGTGCTGGCATCTCTGGAGCATGTGCTCAGGAGAACAAGCCTTCTACTGACGGTGGCTGGCATGGGACCTGCCCAGTGTGGGCTCTGCTCAGTCTGTTCCAACTAGGAGCCTAGAACTAGCCTGATCTTGGGGTTGAGGAGTCTGGAGAGTCCGCCAGGGAGCCAGCCCTGCATGCTGTGCTGCGTTCTATCCTCAGCTGCCTTGGCCAGGACATGGTGGCCTCCTCCCTGGCCTCTGAGGCCAGTCTCAGCTCTCCCACAGCCGAAAGAACCATGCTTTCTCAAAACTGAAACCCTAATGGACAGTTTGACGGGCGCAAGGTTAGGTATGAGGACAACTGGGTAGTCGCTTATACAATGAGTCCATTTTAGAAAACCCAGGACATGTGGCTACCGTGCCTATGGCCCAGATGATATTTGATGGTCTCAGGACCCAGGACACATTTCAATGTTGATGTGCCCTCCAGAGCCCAGACTCACTCCTGGGCATCTCCCTGCTCCCGAGCCTCCGAGCTCCTCCGTGCCGTTCTAGCATGAGTTACAGGCTCCACGGCTGGACCAAGAGTGTTATGGGGCGAGTGATGGGCTTCTCTTGAAAGACCTGCACTGAGGCCTCTATCCCAGCTTCTGGATGATTTTAGTTGATAACTAGAATATATCTTTCACCACATTTTAAAAATTTCCAGTCACAAAGCCAGCCAAACTTTTCCAAATCCTGCAGACAGCAGTGAGCCCAGGCCATGGCCCCAACATCCACATCAGCTACAGGGACACACACAAGATGACCACAGTTATGAGCGAGGGAAGGCTGTACCCTGAGATACCGCTAGGAAATTTAGTGGGATCATGGTGCTGCTAGAGGCCCTCAGCTGATCTCAGTGGAGGTTTTGATTCAGGAACTTGCCTCAATATTGACATTATAGCAATGACTTCAGCCCCTCTGCACTGGTCCCCACCCTCACCAGCTGGGACAGGCCTTGAATCTCATCACCCACGAAGACCTTCAAAGCCACTAGTGCAGAATGAGAAGCAGACAGAACAAGATTATCTCTGGCAAAACCTAAAAGGAGAAATTCCCACTATCCCCATAACCCTGGCTCATGCGGCCCTGTGCTATGTTATCCCATCAAGCCAAATAGCCTTCATCCAAAACACGGGGGAATCATAAACATTGAAAGGGCAATATTTTTCCTCCCACGTCTTGCCATTTTGGCATTTCAGTGAAAGCTTGTTGTTATTCACGGTTAATAATTACCTTTATCTTTATGGCTCCATTTGTTTTCTCTTTTCCCAAAATCAAAACAACAGATAGGTCTGGGAGTAATAGTAGTTGTAGGTGGGATTGAGGAAGCCTCTAGCAACAGCAAATGCTCACCAAATCTTAGTAATAATTATTCCTTAAATGGCTATTGAACAGCTACTATGAAAGACGTGGTAAGGCAGCAGTTGTGAATATTAATTAGCTTTAGAACAGAACTCTCTAGGTTCAAGTCCTGGCTCCATCATCTGGATAAAATCCTTAAACTCTCCAGAGCTTCAAATTCCTCCTCAATAAACTGAAAACTGCAATAACATCACACAGGGTTGTTGCAAGGATTAAATGAGCAAGTATACAGGAAGCACTTAACAAGCAGTTGGTATTCAGTGAGTGCCCCATAATAAATACCAGCTATTAGTAGGGAGGAAAATAGATCTTTACAGCAGAGGGCAAGCAGTGCCGTGACAGCAGGGAACACACAAGGCTATCTGTGGAGCTCAAATGGGATCCCACCCAGAAGGGGGGTTCTGAGAAATGAGCATGGGAGTCAGCTGGGGGTGGGGGGTAGGAAGCCTATGCAAAGGTCCTAAGGCAGGAGAATGCCAAGCCCCAAGGGAAATATTTGCCTCAAGAAAAGGGAAGAACTAGCTCAGCGCCTGTAGCTCAGTGAGTAGGACGCTAGCCACATACACGGAGGCTGGCAGGTTCGAGCCCAGCCCAGACCTACTAAACTATAATGACAACTGCAACCAAAAAAATAGCTGGTGCCTGTAGTCCCAGCTTACTCAGGAGGCTGAGGCAAGAGAATCACTTAAGCCTAAGAGTTTGAGGCTGCTGTGAGCTATGATGCCACAGCACTCTAGGGTGACATAGTGAGACTATGTCTCAAAAAAAAGGCGGGGGGAGGAAGCTGGGGAGTCAGAAAAGATAAGCTAGATATCTGGTTGGGGCCAGTCTGTGAAAGGCCTAACTGATGTAGCAGCCCTCATCCTAGAGACAAAGGGAACCGCTATGGAATATTCAGCCAGGAAATGTATGACCTAATGGCACTGAGGAAGGACGTCACCCTGGGCAGTAGGGTGGTCTTTGGAAATGTGTCTATTCCTTCATTCAGTAGTTACAGAATACATTCTAGACTATAGAGTAGGTATAGTCGAGTGTAACATACAGGCTGTCCAGTGAGGCTTACTGAGGACCTACTACATTCCCAGCACTGTGCTAGATGCTGGTGGATACAGCTGGAAACACAACCCCTCCCCTCCGGTAGGCACAGAGGGGAACTACATAAATACATAACATCACACAACATGCTTCAAAGTAAGGGGAGTGGATATGCAGTGATGCGTAGGGGTAAGAAAGTGTGATTCCAGCTCGGTAGTTGGCAGAGGTCTCACTGGAAGGCTATTTTGAGCCAAGACTGAGATGAGGGCACAAACCTACAGATAGCCAAGAAAAGAGCACCAGTGCAAAGGGAATCTTAGCTCACAGACGTAAGGTGGAGTGTGTCTGCATGTTCAGAAAGCACCAGAAGCCAGGGTGTCTAGAGCAAAGCAACAAGGCAGAGACTGAATGTGGAGCCGGAAAGGGGCAGACGAGGCTGTCTCTTTTTGATCGTGTACTACTTTGGGACAATGTTTGTCCAAACGTCTCAGATTGGTACATCCAGCATGAGTTATCATTTAACGCAGTACTGAGTTAAGGCCCTACTTTCTACCCATAACAAGCTCTAATCTCTTTGCTTTCACTTGGGGTTTCTTGTGAATCTTGTGAATCACATTGGAGTCAGAGAGATCATCTAAAAATGTGGATCTTTCCTTTACCCTTTGATATAAAACCTCAAGTTCTTACAATGCCCTGCAAGGAAGGCCCTGTGAGGCCTGCCAGCCGCCCACTTTCCTGGCATCCTCACCTCCTGCTCTGCCCCGGGCACACAACACACCTGCCATGTCAGACTCTCTGCACGTTCAGCTTTGCACAGGGTGAGCCTTCTGCCTGAAACACTCTTCTCTCCCACCTCCTGCTGGTTCCTTCTCATCTTTACGTCTTAGCACAACTGTTTCCTCTTCGTGAGGCCCTCCTTGCCATCCTGTCTAAAGTAGGTGCTATGCCTCATCGGTAAGGTCTTGCTTCCTTCCTAACATAACACTGGGTGGTAATTTGTTTGTTTCACTTGTGTGTTACCGGGTGCATCTGTCTTTAAATTCCACCCGAACAGGGACTGCATGCTCACTCCTATATTCTCACCAGGAACCTGGCACATGGGAGGTCCCCAGTGTTGAGTACAAAATGCTCCTTAAGGGCAAATACTGCAGGACTTCAGCCTCTTTACACCTCTCACCTACTAGTCACCCCCAAAGTGCCTAACATAGGGTCTCCTACCACAAAGGCATACAATTAGCATTTGTTCATTTTGCTGTGATCTGAGGTCTGACTGTGGTCCCTGTATCCTTTCCCCATTATTGTATTTCAGATGCTGACTCCAACTGCTTGAAAACAAGTGGCATCAAAAGTCAAGAATGTCACAGTCACAGTCGAACAAGTAAGTGCAAGCATTTTTCATTTCTAATTTCTTAAAACCATTCCTGAGACAAAGTAATCTAATAAGCTTTGAGAAACTAACTGTTCAAGGGGACACTTTGTTTCCCAAAGCAGGTAGTAGAGAAATTGATGATTGTTCCTATACACATGATCAAAATCAGATTTATTTCTTTTTCACTTGGAAATGGCAATTATAAGAAGCAAAGTGAGGAAGTAAAGAAATGTTTTACCCTGCCCAGGCGCGGTGGCTCACACCTATAATCCTAGCACTCTGGGAGGCCGAGACAGGTAGATTGTTGGAGGTCAGGAGTTTGAAACCAACCTGAGCCAGAGTGAGCCCCCATCTTTAAAAAAACTAGCTGGAGCCCAGGCTCAGTGGGTCACACCCCTAATCCCAGCACTCTGGAGGCCGAGGTGGGTGGATTGCCTGAGTTCACAGGTTTGAGACTAGCCTGAGCCAGAGGGAGACCCCTTCTCAAAAATAGCCAGGTATTATGGCAGGTGTCTGTAGTCCCAGCTACTCGAGAGACTGAGGCAAGAGAATCACTTGAGCCCAAGAGTTAGAGGTTGCTGTGAGTTATGAGGCCATAGCACTCTACTGAGGGCTACAAAATGAGACTCTGTCTCAAAAAATAAAATAAAATAAAATAGCTGGGCATTGTGGAGGGCACCTGTAGTCCCAGCTACTTGGGAGGCTGAGACAAGAGGCTCACTTGAGCCCTGGAGCTGAAGGTTTCTGTGAGCTGTGACACCATGGCACTCTACCAAGGGCAACATAGTAAAACTCTGTCTCAAAAAAAAATAGAAGTAGAAAAAGAAAATGTTCTACCCCATGTTGTTTTTCCTGGTCTGTTGTGGGTTCTTTTTACTGAAGTATTCAGGGATGGATGGTAAAAGAAACACTGGGAGTTGGAGATCCTGGTGGCCTTTTCCAGCATTAAGAAATCTACTCAGAGCAGAGTCAAAACTGCAGTCTCACAAATTTATGCAGAGAAAACAACCACTACATGCTAGGCATGGCTCTAACCCCTTGGCATCTATTAAATCATGAAAACCTCTAACCTTTCCTATAAGATAGGAACTCTCATTATCTCATTTTACAGGTAAAGTGACTATTGAGATGGTGGTTACAGAGGTAAGAGGCAAATTGAAAACCTAAATGCAGGCAGTGGGTCTCCAGAGCTGGCCCTTCCTTAGCCACCATCACATAGAACAAGAGCTTT